GCCCAGTTTTAGCTAAGATACTTCCACCACGTCTTCCAGCATATCGTTGCGCCTTGTCAAATTCATTATTAGAAACATGAATAAAATGTATCGATCCAAAGAGGTGATAAACTTATCAGGTGGGTACTCAACCTTTTCAGGATTCTCGATTTCTTGGAGCTCCTCTCTCTTAAAAGGTCTTTTGGAGTTATGACCTATTAAATGTTTAGTTGAATCAATTGGCTTATCCTCAAGATAGTATAAGACTGGCTGTGGTGGATTTTTACCAACAATAACTTTTTTTGATTTTATAGATATGCAATGACTACTATGGGTTAGTTTTTCTATACATATGCCCTCCTTCTAGCTCACCAGGTTTTAATAGATATTTTACTGTAAGCCCCTTCTGTAATTGTGGTTTATCCTTTCCAATAGGTCTTTTAGATTTGGCGAGACTTATATACAAAATTCAATATGCCATAGAAGGAAAACTCAAAGAAGGTGAAAACTCGAAATTATGGAACAAGATACTTCACAAAATTATAGCAGAAAAAATAATTAATTGTTAAGCCTTATTCTATTTATCTAATTTCAATAGTATGTCCCAACCCAATCTAATTGCGAGAGAATCATTAACTGCCTTAGTAAAGTCAAAGATTACGAAATCTTGATCCCGCAAATGTTTATTAATAATTTTGGATGCTTTTTTCAGATTATCCATATATTGTCGCACAATTCTATAAATGTCGTCTCGGACTCCCCATTGTTAAATAATACAAGATGGCTTAGATTTTCACAGATAATTTTAGGAGTTTGTATATATTTTTGGCTCACATATATGGGTGAGATATTTTGATGCCGGCCACTAATGAAATACGGAATAATTCGTTCTTGTACTTTCTTTGGCTCAGCACATAAATCCTCAAATACAACAACTGTACTTCATTTTGGTGTGAATTTAGTTATATTTGGAATTTTATCTGAAGATAACCTTTTAAATATAATATCCTCTTGATATAGTTTCGGGCTATTTGCAAAGATCTGATAGCTATTTTGTACAAGTTGCCATTTAGGCTCAAAATGCCTGCCTATTAATACAAGGTCATCATTTCTAATATACCGCTGACCTTTTTTCCCCTTGAACATATGTTGTA